CGCCCCCGAGGGGGACACGCCGCCCCCCCGATCCCCGGGGGAAAGAGCAGGGGGGGGAGGGGCCGGTTTTTTTTTTTTTTTTTTTTTTTTTTTTTTCTTGATCTAAAAATCATAAAGACTAAAACAAACAAATGTATAATGCAAAACGCGTGGATGCAGAAAAAGGATGACGGCGTGGTAAGGCCTTTGTATGTAGGAAGAAAAGATGGACATTTTCCGCCAAACAAACTCGAAGTCTTCTAGGAAAATCTATGATTTATGAGCTTGAAAAGTCGAAACGTTTTTTTTAAGACATGTTTGATAAGAACTTTTATAACAACTGAAGTGTGAACTGTGACATAGTTACTTGATTGTGCTATAAAATGGCTCTATGTGGCTAGCAGTCACTGATCACCTTTATTCCACCTGGCACTGATACAGCAATTCATGCTTTTTAAAGTTATCTATTACCTAAACAAGAAAAACATTGCAGTCACAAATATGTCTTTAATAGCATATCCTTACAGACAAGGACCAGTTACAACAACAAATCCCAGGGAGATCTTTGTTGATGACTAAAACCGGGAAAGAACATTTTAAATGAACACATTTCCAACGCTATACTTAACAAAAGAATAGTCATTTTAAAATCAATATGAAGCCTAAAATATAAACGACAAAACAGAGAACATGAAATTGTACATTAGCAAGATACATAATCTTGTATATGGAGGATTTTGTGAAGGACTATCAGCTGATCCATGTGATTCACAAAAAAACAAATGTTGCTTTCAAAATGTAGGGGGCACTAATCAGGAGATAACACAGCTGTTTTTTCACGTCTAAAACTAGTACTCAGACTAAGTTTTAAATCATTTTAACCAAAAATGATTTGGAAAATTACATTGTTCCAAGTTCTGTTAGTCTGTTTTTGCTGTAGGTTTCTAAACATGTCTGATATAATCTGCTTAGGAGTTTTTAAAGTTGGCTTACATTTACACTCTAAAACAAGAATTTACTGAAACCTTTATATTATTGAAGGCTGAAAAATATAACATGATCCTGTACTGTTTGCATTTACTTCACTCTCAGTCTGTCAAATTGACTTGCACAACCATTTATAACAAGTTTAAGGAAATAATACTTGACAAACATTTATTTTGTGAACAATCCCGTCGCCTTCCTTAATGTAACTGAGAATGTTTCACACAATTCAACACAATTTCAGGTCAAAAACTTCAGTGAAGAAACGGAGGTAAACTCCACACGATATCGTCCCCAAAAAGCAAGACGAGTTTCTCACTGCACACGACACTTGTTGGGTTTCTTCTTTCGACCCGATGCCATCATCTCCTGATCCACCTCCATCTTCAACGTGTTCTTCCTCTCCATCTCATTTTTCTTCTGCATCTCCAAAGCTCTTCGTTCGCTCCTCTTTGAGGCCTGTTTTGCTCTCCTAAACATCCATTTGGTGTAGTGTTTGCCATGGTTCTCCTGAACCATCTGATCAATTTTCTCCAGCAGCTGGCGGACTTGTTCCTCACTTGCCACTTCGTTGTTGAAGACATGATATCTACCGGAAAAAGCCATGACAAACTCTTCGAGGGCTGAACTCTTTGAAATAAACTCCTCAATAGTTTGTTTCTTCAGTTTGTCTCCATGTGTGAACAACAGCAATGAATATCGGGCAGCCTCAGAACCAAACATCTTCAGAATAATCTTCATGGTTTCTTCCTCCTCCTTGGTGAATCTTCCAAGCTTCTTAACCACCAGAAAGACATGAGGACCCGGAGCACTCAAAGAGATGCATGTTTCAATTTTCTCCAAAACTTTCTTCTCCTGGAAATTGGTGTCAAACAGCCCCGGCGTGTCAACTACTGTAACCTTTCGGCCTAAGACCTCTGCATCAGCCTTCTTACAATCGACTGTCCAGGAAGACGGACACGCCACCGACTGGAACACTTCATTTCCCACTATGGTGTTTCCTGTGGCACTCTTCCCTTCTCCGGTTTTCCCCAGCATTACAATCCGGAGTGTGTCCTTGCTGCTCTCCTTCGATCCTGCAGACAAACACAGCAACAACTTTGGTGTCTTTTTTTTCTTGTGTTGTTGATGATTCTGTATGAGTCTGAAGTCTGAGGAAACAGTTTGATCACTGTACTAAGCAAATGTAACAACATTTTTAATTGGATGGCTCAAATTTAACAAAGACTAGACGCCACTCACACCAATCCCAGTGTGGAAAACCAAAAAGGAAATATCATGGGGACTTAAGCTAAAATAAAATCCCAGTAGAAGCACAGAAAGTCAGTAACATATGATTTCTAGGTTACATAAAAATAATAATAATAATAATAATAATAAACATCAGTTTACCATCTGATCTAACCTTTGAAATACTTTTTTTATGACTATAGGTTACAATACATACATGCGATTAAAAGGAAACTGAAAACCAGGATCATCATGATGAAAAACTGATCTTTATTTATGTAAAACAATAAAAAAGAAAGCCAAACTGACCTATAGAAGGAAAACAAAAACATGTCACCAGCAGTCAGTAAATCAGAATAAAAACTACCCATAAAACCTCAAATTAATAAGCCAGTATGCTGAGACCATGAATCAAACTGGTATCATTAATGTGAAATAAATCAGTATGAAAGCTGAATAGTTTTCTATGTTTAAAATAGAAAGAAGACTTTTATTTTCATGTCATTTTTGTCTTTATTTCTAATTTGTAAAATGTCAGAATGTTACAATTGGTAACAAAATCACAATCATTTCATATTAAATAGATGTACATAATAAAACAATGATGTGCTCCCTCGCCAATCTATTTATCACCTGATTGGTGTTTGACTTTATTTCAGAGACAATGTACAGCTTCCCAAGATCTCCAGATTTGGATCCCTTAATATTTAGAGAATCCTCAATATATGGAACAGGATTACATACAGCTGCAGTACATATAGTTGTAGTTCAACAGTCTTTCAGACAGTTAAAAAAAGATTCATACTCATATATAGCATTTCCTTTCAGGAATAAACAGGAATGTAGCATTTAATTAGACAAATCTATTTTTGTCTTATCAAGCATGTTTGTTTACCGACTTAATCTATGCAAAATCAAGTTGACAGAAAAGAAGCTGCTGAAAGCTTTATGTATTTCTACATTAATCAGAGGCAGACTGAGAGCTGAATTTGCCCCTCTAGTGTTATTGAATGTGACAGCTTTTGCTAACTGATATTGTCAAAGCTCCAACAGCAGCTCCGACTGCAGCTCCGGCAGCGATCCCAACTGCCACTCCGATTGGTCCGCCAAACACACCCAGCACACCTCCAATGGCGGCACCGCAGGTCGTGGCCACAGCGATTGTTGGTGCGGCGAGGAATTCGTTTGACTTCTCAGCTCGGGTGCGTGCCTCCTGGTGGTAGTGCATGATCACCTTGGTCTCCTCCCTGCGGTAAACGGCTTCACTGTACTTGGCTCTGAGCTGGTCCAGCTCCCTCTTCTGCTGCTCTTCCATTTCCTTCAGTATTCGCTCCTTTTCCTTCAATATGGCGGCCTCTGCTTTTTCGAACATTGCATTTGTGTAGTACCCTCCGCCATTGGCCTCAACCATCTCTTCAATCTTGTCTAAAAGCAAGTAGGTCTGCTTTGGGTCTTTGATCTCGTTGTTGAAGACGTGGTATCTGCCCTGGCACTTGTCAATCAGGGCTCGCAGGTCTGCGCTCTCTGAAATAAAGTTTTCAATGGTCTGATTCTTCAACTGGTCTCCATGAGTAAACAGCACCATTGTGTACCTCTGAGCATCTTCTCCAAAGGTGTCCTGGATCATCTTGACGGTATCCTTCTCCTCCTGCGTGAACCTGCCCAACTCAAGAGTCACCAGGAAGGCGTGAGGACCCGGAGCGCACAGAGAGATGCACATCTTGATTTTCTTCAGCACGTCTTCTTGAGTAAAGTTTGTGTCAAACAATCCTGGCGTGTCGATAACGGCCACATTCCGACCGTTAACGACCCCCCGGGCTTTGTGGCATTCTGCCGTCAGAGAAGATGGAGACAGGTCTGACTCAAAAGCCTCCCTCCCAAGGATGGTGTTTCCTGCGGCACTCTTCCCAACTCCAGTCTTCCCGACTAGAATAATTCTCCTCTCCCTTGGATCTATTCCGCTTGTGAACCCTGTTGGATAGAAGTACACCATTCATCATAACAGTGCTGCACTGCTGGCTGCACTGTGCACACACCAGAAGAAAACTGATCTCCAATGAGATAATACTCTGCTAATGTAACACCTGAAATAACATGTTTTATTTAGATGCTGTTTCAAATTCTACATTCATTTATCAAGAGGGTAAAATGTATTCAGACCAACTTGGATACATATATCCAGGTATTATGTTTTTCTTTGCAGGTTTTCTAGTAGGTGCATCAAAGTAAAAATGAATCGTAATTCTGGGTCTTTAAAGGCTGAATTTAAAATAGGATGTATTTTAAATGAGATTCATGAGGTTTGTTTTTCTCTTTATTCCTTCTTCTGTTAAGCTCATTTTATAACAACTTTTGTTGTTTTGGATAAGCCATTGTTTGTTTTTTATCTCTGAGCTGGATCTTCAACTTTCAAATCTCTGAGTCACTGCCACAAAAATGCTGTGTCATACTTAACTCGTGATGTTTTTTTTTTTTTTTTTTTTTTTTTTTTTTAAACAGGAAGAATGTCTAAAAATAGATTAAATTTGGACATTTGACAAAAAAAGGGCTTCACTTTCCTTTCAGTTTTTTTGCTAAAATTTTGAGGTGTGCTCCTGTTTTTCTGTGTTTTTTTTTACTTTAAAATCTTGTGCTTCATGATTAGCAACAATAGTCTGGATAAAACATACCTATTTCTCCAAACAAGCAAAAACCCCCCAAAAAAATCTATTTGGAGTTTCAATTAAAACCTTTTTTTTTTTTTTCCTACAGATGAACTTTAAATTTCAAACAACTGCTAAATTTATCAAAATTTATCAGACAGCAATATTTCTTTTGGGTCACCACATGATCTTTAGGTATGTCTGCAGAGCATAGTGTTGGTAAAATGCTCAAACATAAACAATTCATATATTTTTAGATTTACCATTAAACCAACATGATTAATTTCAATAAAAACCCCAACTTCTTTCAAGCTGACATGCTGAAAGTACTGCTGAGATGGATGCATTTGAACAGAAACCGGAAAACACATTCTGAGTTAAGAATGTCAGCCCGACCTCTTAAACCAAAGGCAAAAAAAAAAAATGTCTTTTCTTACCGGCAAATTTTTTCCCAGACATGTTGAAAGTCCCAGCTGTTCCTACTGTTCTTCGTCTTGTTTTGAATGAGCCTGTCTTCCTCACACCTGAGCTATCTTACCTCCAAGGGGGCGTTCCTTTTGTGTCTTTTTTTAGCTGGAAATATGCACGAATAAGATGAGGTCAAAAGGAAAAAAACAAAACAAACAAACAAAAAAAAAAAAAAAAACAAGAGTAATCAGATTTAGATAAAGTTAGAGCTCTAATTTTACACCTAAAACCTGGTGGGTTATGGTTGCCTCAGGTCGGCTCAGACTAAACTGGGCTAAAGGATCGTCTCTTGAACCAAAACTGGATCTGTTGGTTTGTAGCGCTGAAAACATTCCTTTCTACAACCTTAACACAACATGAAAATCAGGTTGAAGCAGATGTTTGTGAACCGTTCAGCTCTGCAAAAACTGAACAGGGAGTCAGGCAAAGGTAGGCTCTCCAGCATCTCAATCAGGTTGAGACCTGGACTTTGACTGAACAGTTGCAACACAATGATTATTTGCTTCTTCGGTGATTTGTTTGCACACACCAGTTGATACTCTGGCAGGTTTTTCCACTGTGTTGTTGGTTTGTCTCATGAATCTGATTGGTGCAGCAGCATCCAGCTGCAGAACGCACGCAGTTAAACCTGTTTCTCTTGTCTTCTCTCTGAGGTAAATATCACCATTTGTAGAAGTTGGACATGGAAATTCAGCTTGTTTTCTGAAACAACACCTGCAACTGTTCCCTTAATTCTGGTCAAGCCACGCCAAAGAACAAAAAAAAAAAAGAAAAATATTTTGTATTGTTTGACACAGGTGTAGTAGGAGTAGGATGAAGGGAAGAAGAGCTGAAACCACGCAGTTTAGATTAATTCTGCTCAGCTCGGTGCAATACCTGCAAATCGCCACAGGGTGCCAGTATTTGCTCAGGATCAATACACACGTTAAGTTAAAAGTGGTGCTGATTGTCGGTGGTAGATTTGATGAAAGATTTTTTAAAGGAAAATTTTGCAATTTTTTTTTTGTTTTTTTGTTTTTTTACATTTGTTCTTGATGAAACGAATAACAATCACTGACATTAGAAATTATGATATCTAATTCATTTCATTATTATTCACTTATTTCTTCTTGCTATATGGTAATTTTATTTATTTTCTTATTTATTTATAATCTTATCCATCATTATAAGTATTATTTCTCAGAATGTTTCTGTGATGAACATATTTTGTCTACTTTTAATTTCTTTTTTTTAATTTACTTTTAAATGTTTATTTTATTTATTTACTATTAAGAATCCATTTCATTCATTTACAGATTTGTTTTTCACTTAATAAATTAGCTTTTAATACATTAGCACTACTGTTCCTCTTTTACATTTACAACCTATGTCATTAAAAACAGTTTATTTCTGCTGTGCCAATTCCCAGCAAATATCATTTCAAGACATTTTATAAAGCAATTTAATCAAGTTCACTTCTAGGAACTTATAATTCAATGATCCAGTTATATAGATTCAGTTGAAGCATGTGTACCTGTAGCTCCGAGGTGAAATATCAGTCCTGCCCTCTTCCTTTTACTGAATTAATTTTCCCAAGAGATTTTATCCCCAGTGGAAATCAGATCTCCCTGATGAAAGCAATCTAAATGCTGATGGTGTCCTCTTTGCACAGCCTTCCCTTTGCGTAATAAACATTTACTTCACACTGATGAGTTAAAG